CATGGTTATTTTTTTTTCTTTGCCAATTTTATACTATTGTTATTCCATTTAAAAGATTATAAGGTACAGTTTGGATTGCTTTGTTTACCACCCCTAGCGCCTGTTGTAACACCACCTTATTTTCCATTTCTTTTCTCTCTCCCTTCCTTCTCTACTTCCTTCCTTCCTCTTCTCCTTCCCCTTCTTTCTTCCCTTACCTCTCCCCTACTCTTACCCTCTCTCTTCTTCCCCTTCCTACTCTCTCTCCTTCTCTTTCTCTCCCTTCCTCCCTCTTCAGAATCTCCAGAATCCCATTTCTAAAGCTCTGAAACTGTTCAGAACCCCTTCCTAGAAAAAAGGTTATTACCCTGTTTTCCTGAAAATAAGACCTCGCCGGATAATAAGCCCAATCGGGCTTTTGAGCGCAAGTGCTAATATAAGTCCTCCCCTGAAAATAAGCCCTCCCCTAAAATATTGCAACACAGCAACAGCCATGAGGTGACCACGCTCGCCGTCTCCCGCACCTCAAAGATAATAAGACATCCCTGAAAATAAGGCCAAGCGCTTATTTCGGGGCTCAAAAGAAAATAAGACCCTGTCTTATTTTCGGGGAAACACGGCATTATGTCTACAGAATTGCCGAAGAAGGAATTTCCTTTCTATTTCCGATGTGAATGTTGAGAACTAGAAGATTGAAAAGGCGGCAAATGCCTTCAGCCTTTATGGCCATTGTGAATTATTTAGATCAGCCTTACAGGTAGGCCTCGATTTACAACCACAATTGGGGCCAGAATTTCTGTGGCTAAGCAAGGCAGTTGTTAAGTGATTCATACTTGTAAGTTCTAGGATTCTGCTACTTCTAGAGTTTCATCTATCTAGCTCATCCTTTTGCTGCTGATAGAGGCCATTTCGATGCTTCCAGATAGTTCACGGGCAGGAAGAAACAAATCACAGTGTGAGAACTTCCACCTTATGCCTGCACTCTCATATCGTTTGGCGCCAATCCGCCATGAACGGGGGGGGGGAACACTTGGGGGAAAGTGAAAGTGATAGAAATGAGTGTGCCTTTCAGAGAAAGCACTTCAAGGTTGTTTACCTGGGAGAAGAATACAGCTGCAAAACAGTCTACAAATCATCAAACTTGATTTAATTGAGGGCCACGTCAAGATTGTGTTCGGCCTCGGGAAGCTGGGGTGGGCATTGCCAGCTCAACGCCACTCGTGTCAGGGGGCGCCTGTGGTGGCCTAAGCACCCTGCCAGCGAAAATGGGCTCCCGAGCTCCGTTTTCGGCTGTGACGGCCTCATGCTACCTGCTGCCAGGGAAAACCAGACCTTGCGAGGGCCGCCCGGGGCCCTCCCAAGCTCCAGTTTTGCTGGCAGAGCTACCACGGGCCAGTTTACTATTTCAAGGGCAGCCCTGTGGGCCATATCTAAGCACCGTGCGGGCCAGATCTGGCCCCCAGGCTTTGAGTTTGACATCCCTGAGTCTACACTCAGCATGTCTGCTTCAAAACCATGTTCTTTGAAATTGATTGGACGATGGGGAGGACCAGCAGTGGGATATGACTTGGGAGGCAGGGGACGGAGGAAATTATACTGAGAGTTCTGGCGTGCGAACTTCAGTTCTGGCTTTGCTTTACTGTATTCCACTTGACCTCCAGTAAACTATACCTTTCTCAACAAATGGAGTTAAGGATCCCTATTGCTTAAAGGTTCAAGCAGAGGCAGGACTGCAGGGGTGGGTTTCTCGCCCCGTTCCAACCGGATCGGTTGGAACGAGGCCAGCGGCGTCCTCGCGCACGCACGCGGCGTCCTCGCGCACGCACGCGGCGTCCTC